AACGTATATGTGTGAAGGCAATATTGTTCTCAATAAAATCCACATCCGGACATTTTATTCGGCACTGCTTAACGATAGGAAATCACTAAAAGCTGTGGAAATTCATATAAAGTTGTAAATTGTTAATTCAACGATTCCCTATACTTTATTACAATCGCATACAACAGGAACGACACAATGAACAGATCAACAAGCCAGAAATCAGTGTACGTCGCCAGATAAGCAATAATTATATACGCAAGCAAACGTCAGAATGTTAGGGGAGTTGTCATTTTGTCATCCTGGGGTGGGATGGATTTCATTATTAGCGTCGGAGACTATGATGACCAAATCCTGTGGAACTTGGACACAGGAAATCCAAAGATGGGTGTCCTCCGCTCCTATTCAAGATGTCCAACCCTTATTAACAATGATAATAAAGACATGGCCCCTACTGATTCATCAAGGTGGCCGTCTACAACATAATCGTACAGTCAGTGTCATATATTGGAAGTAGCATACGTATTACACAATATTATGTCCGTGTTTCTATACAACATGATAACCTCAGCCGATTACTCGATACATGCGCATGCATACAAATTTGTCGCTTTTTCGCTTATTATCATCTCAGCATCTCAAAAACAGCCTGTTGTCATTGATATCTAAACGGTATAGTTCACTTATTGAAGTGAGTGAGTCAGGGTGCATGGAAGTTCTTATCGTACTTAAGTCACTGTCGTTTATTTACACCTGGGGGTTCGTCGTTTACCGAATATTATCGAGATCAATGTTCTTCTTCTTGGTGAGACGCTTTCCCCATAATTGAAATAAAAATGAGGAAAAATAATAACAGAATAATTTGCGATAATGTGTACAAAACCATGTACGACCGGTCGGTGATTCGCGAGACTTCCCGCCATTCTCGCAGACGACGTTGCTGAGTTTCTAGATCATGGTCGCAGAATTCGGAATCAATTTCAGAATCCGACGTTGGCATGGCCTCCGTCTGTTCAAGTTGACAATTGTTACTAAGCTTTGCGCCGACTTTTTTACCGCTGAAATATGGTCCTAGAGAAATCTCTTCACTCTCATCATGAAGTCGCCGCGGTTTTGCGACACGGTAGGATTTAATGCGCACGCGCGTGCAAGCCAATCTGCCAAGAATCTGAATGACACAACTTTGATATGTCTCGGGACTTCTGGACACACAGGCCCTGGAAAATGCATACTCAGAGTATACGCCATAACAAATGCGGATAAGACTGCAAGGCCGATTGTGACAAAAAAGTACCGTTCTGTAAAAGGAAAAAAAAAACACGTTATTTAACATTATCAGTAAAGTCGCTCATTTTAAAATATGCAACGAAAAGTGGTATCGAGATGTCATAAAATACTCACGTAAGTATGGAACAACTTCTGCCGTTGGCGGCATGTAGTCTGAAATGACGGTAAGGAAGACGAACTGTGACAGAATGCTAATAACGCACAGACTGACCCGCTCCCCGGAATCAGACGGCAGATAAAATCCAACAGAAATCAATATTGACGCAAGGAACGATGGGAGTATTATGTTTACTATATAGAACATGGACCGTCGCCTCAGGTGTATCGTGTACGTAACGTCGGGAAACAATTCCGGGCAGCAGACGTACTTTTCTGTTCTTTTCTCCACAGGCATTTCTAGCACTTCCCATTCGCCATTTTGAGTGAATCGGTCAATATTGCTTGTCGGATCGACTTCGTAATCGATCAAACCGCCGTGGTAGCTCCAAGAAGCAAACTTGAAAACACAACGTTGCTCGTCAAATGGAAACAAAGTCGCGTCAATGGAACAGGTAGCTTCGATTACTGCCGGCTGCAGTGCCGTCACGGTGCCATTGTGGTTGATAATGGCGTCTGTATCAAAATGCCGCTGAAAATTTGACGTAACACTGAAAGAAATCAATTCGTATGTTTTAATTCACGCAAACAGTTCGGAGCTCTCTTTACGTATACAATAATCGTTTTTCTAAATACACCTTCCCATAAATCGCGCCCTCTAGTGACAAAGCGCTTCTGTGACGTGCTTGGGTGACACGACAGTCGCGTATATTGCCTTGATCTGTAGTCTTCAGTAAAAAGTGTTTTAGAGATAGAACCATACCAGATAACGAACGACAATATATTACCGAGCACGGTTGTCGATTTGAACGACACTGTCTCCACCCATTATACTAGAGGGCGCGATTTATAGGAATGGTGTATTACGGTATCCTAAAAACTCGACTGTAAATTACCTTCCATATAACACAGTATCTGGCTGCCATATATTTGTGATTGGTATCTGGATTTGTTTTATACCACTATATAAAGCTGGATTCCAAAATAAGTAGTCGTCCGTCCACTCCTAGAAAATAAATGTACACAATATAAACAATATAAACAATTATTGACAGATATATTCTGGAGAATTAAATCTACGTCATCATATCATCACTGATTTTATTCAAGGAATGTAACCAAAGATATTACTAACACTACTAAAAATGAAACACATATTTGGTTTGTTTTTGCATAATAATGCGAGAAAGCTGAGATTTTCGATATGTCAGGGCAATTTTGCAAACATTGATAGATATAATAGTCCGATGTCCCCTGAAACACCGAAGTCTTTTACCTGTATACTCTCACTAACCTGAGCAAGCCAAGTTTTCAATATTACCACTTGGTTCTTTTCATCCTATAGTAATAAACAAACAATACAACAATCAAGTTGTGCCCTCTAGCGGCAATGAGCTTACATGATGTCAAAATGCGCGAACAGAAATCAAAATAATACGGACTAGCTGTAGGACGTCGTGTCTGCCCCGTTTACGCCACGGGCTCTTGTCGGTAGAGGGCGCTATGTAAAGACAGTCGTATTACCTCACGTAATCGTTTTTCACGCCATGGTCATGTTTTGATACATTGTCCAATATGGCAGTGTGCACGTCACGACTACTATTTTTTTCAATGTTGTCCACGGGTAAGCGAATCTAATGCATGTATTGTTCTCAAAGGAAAGCCTGAATTGAATTAGTTATAAAGCTAAAGTCAATTGCAATTACACCCTCAATGCACAAAACATTGCCACGAGAAATTTAATTCAGAGATAAGACCCGTGTGGTAGTTGTAGAATGTGTGGTAGTTTTTTAGGAAGTTCAAAAAGCACCGTCACGCAAATTGAGTCGAAGCATAGATACAAAGCAGAATTAGATACGTCCAAAAAACGTATCAACAAAAAAATGCTCGCTTATTGGCCTTACTGTTGAGCGTTAGGGTTGGGCCAATCAGACACAACGTAAATTGTAGGCCTTTTAATGTCAGCAAAACACCCACCATATCAATCAGCTGTATCGGCGTCATTCTGTGTTTGACTACGATGGCGCTTTCCTCATCGCTAACCGGTCGTACGTAATATTTGGGATAGTTATCCAATAAATTGTTGACCAGAGCAACACCAGCTTTCGATGCAATGACGGGTTCTGTTGAAAACAAAAGAAGAAGTATGAAAACAATCAATTTTGTGACCAACCAACTCCACCAGATAATTGGAACATTTCTAAACATAAGGCCAGGGAATCAGTGTTGTACAGGAAGGGGTATTAACGATGCAGTAATGACGAAAATATATATATATTCAATATTCTGATCCCCGGATAGAGTAACATGTCGACCAAATAAAATACTAAAATCGTCGCTTTTGTAGCACACAGAACAGTATTCGTCAGATAAACAATCACATGCGTAGTAATTGTCATTGTACGTAACAAATCAACCAGTACAAATTCGGGAATGCCATTGCATTATTGAACGAATAATCACCCAATGTATTAATTAGCATACAATATCAAACAACAACTATAATTAAAAAAATATATGTACTTCAATATTGCATCTTATAAATTGTTTCACATCACATGACACCTCATGTGACATCGCATCATATTTATGTAACACGTCTCATCTTGTATCCTAAACAATACCATGAATATTCTGTTCCATCTATTTAAACATTCCCAGAACGTTATAACAATTGCACTTTCCTGATATACGTGTACCGTTAATGTGAGCCATTTTCTTTTAACGAAGACGCCGAACATTCGTTCCTTCTTTCACCGCTTGATTTATTTCTATTTACACGCACAGAGACTAGTAAAAGTTGCAATGGCAATATAAAAGCGTAGTACTAGAATGTCTAATCGTGCTGATCGTTTTGATAAGATCAAAATCTCCCACATGAGGATAATATTAACAATTAATGTGTTTAATCTAACATCTTTAGTTGCAAAGGGGTAGTTTATGTTTTAAACTATTCCGTTCGCATTTCTAAATCGTCGGTGATGCTGTAATCACATTGTATTGTTTTGAGCTAATTTATTTTACATACTACCAGCAATTCTTACAACATCGTTATGCAAAGTTATCAAGCAATATTGTAATACACTCTTCACAAATGTAACGTTGTTTGTAATTAGTATTCGGCTAACGTGTTCTTGTTCAGATAATTTCCGGTCGTAGGCAATGTTGAGCGAAACAGCGGCAGAGATTACGTAATTTCCGCATATTCTATTTATTCCCATCGTTCTTCGTTTGATCATTTTACATTTCCATCACTTAGCGAATTTTAATGGAAATATATTTTGCATAATTTATAACAACGTATTTTGCTTGCTTCTAAAACGTAAAGATAATGAACAGATTATATAGAATGTGCCATCTGTAATTTGTATTTGTATATACACTTGAAATCCGATGGTCTGTAATATCTAATAAAATGTTATATATATTGTAGATCACACCTTTGTACTTATTACACCATAGGGCAAATATTTTTAAATATGGTGTATATGATTACAGAAGTTTTTAAAATCAATTTCCTACTGTTAAGTTAGCGAGCCATTTACCCCAATTCGTTACGAGTATGATTCACAATTATAACTGTCAAGTGAATAATGATACAATAAATGCTTGACTGTTATCTTTTTCAAACACACCGTGGGGTGATTAATTACCAGGGCGATTTTAATACATTTCACGTGTACATTTCTTTAATGAAATTATTAGGACATCTAAATTACATTTATGTATACCTATCGCTGTCTTTAATTAAACCATTTAACTGAAAGTCAAAGTGAAAAGGACAATATAACAAAAGTTTCTAGACATACAGGGTATTAGAAATTTTGAACATAACACGTCACGATAGACGTAAATTATATATAAAGTCTATCAATATACTATGAATATATGTATAATAAGTAAATGTGAAAAAACTTCCAAAGTAATCATTACCATTTTCTAGATTGAAAAATAGACGAATGATAAAACTTAAACTTCCTATATTATTTTCAAAGAAAGTTCAGAAAGAATACAAAACAATTTGTGAAATTCATACATGAATTATTTAAAAATCCTTCAAAAATTAAGATCTACCTGTTAAAATAATGAAACATCGTAGCGGTACATAGGTTAATGTAATAATTGAGTTAATTTAAAATCACATAATTTTTGCATTGTACGTAATTATGGTTTAAAATTCCACAAATATTAATTATGTTTATAAACCCCGAAGACGTACACCTGAGCCTATTATAAGTTTGCTATGTACATTATTTTCATTTTTTATGGTACCGCAATAAAGAGCATCCCGACTAATTTACGTATTTAATGGTCGTCCAAAAACAGTATTACGATTAATATAGTTATTAAAATATTTACAGTTACGGAATGGCATTGGTAACATAATTACTGGTTTCGGGGTCAATTCAAACCATGTCTATTTCACATTCCATGTAAATCTTCATGAGTTATGGGTGAAACAAATATCTGTGTGCGGAGAAGTTGACGTTGAGAAATTTTAAAAAGACGTTGACATCTAAAACCACCGGATATATTCAAACAATATAATAATTAACAACAATTCAAAAAATATAGTGTAAAAACACCAACATATTGATATATTTTGTAATAGTCAATAGTAAGTGTAGATTCATGAGCTCTCGCAGCAACAGCATTGATTAACGCTTTCGCGTTATTAGACTGCCTTGGCTTCAAACTGTTTAAATCTCGGAACCAACATACTGTAATCCACTCAACAGTGCAAAAATACCCCTTTATTCGAATGTTCTTCATTATTTGCAAGACCTTAGATAGAGTTAACTGATAGGTAAAGTACGGCTACGACACGCTAACGTTAGGTAACGGTCTGTTTGAATCGAGGCTCTAGTAAAGGCTCCACTTGTGGCAGAGCACCAAAATAAAGAAAAATGCAAAAATATATTGTATAGACACCGTGACAAACTTGTATCTATACTTTAAACATACTTATCATTAGTGATCACTTACACTACTGACCCATCTCGCAATGTAACTATTAATCGTACACAATGTTTACATCTATTAATTATGCTATTGATCTTTTTTTTAAATACATAATTAATCTACTGACATTTATATATTTGATACAGTGTATATAATATAACAATAACATTCTGCATATGCGCTGTTGTGCGTATGAATTTAATTCAAAATATCATTAGGATCTGAAATGCAGTCAAGCGTGAAATTAAAAAAAAATGATGCCATCTGGCTACGAAAGGCATTATTCTGATTGTCTCAATCAATGCATTTTTCACAGATGACATAACACTGAGTCGAGAATGCACATCATGTTGATTTCACCTAGAGATGGCAATCCTCATTCGTTGTGTATTTCAAAAGCTATCTAGGGAGAATCTAAATAGATAGTTGTAATATTAAAATAGTGATCACAGCCGGATCATGAACTGAATGATCTCACCGGTCTGAAGTCAAACAATTCTAATAGAATAAATAGCTATATTATAATACAATTTTGTGGTAGAACACTCCACGTGTAATTCATAGGTATACGCATTGATAAATGTAAGGCATGGCAAAGGAGAACCGTTATATGTAGCAGCAAACATCGATACCCGTTGAATTGAATTATGTACGGCGTTAATCACGTACGGAGACAAGCCTGTTACCTATTGCATCAGCCTAACAAAAAGATTCGTTCATAATTACCATCGGATGAGACGGTAATGATAGACACATATAACGAAGTAATTCCTAGGCAAATTAATACGTACATAACACAATGTAAAACGCCAGCCATATAGGTCAGATGATATGTAGAATTATGATTACTTTTTCTTATTAGCAGTGTCGCGAAAATTGATGAATGATAATTGAAGTAATCAAGTTGAAGACACACGGAAATGACTGTACATTGTAATTGTTTCTAGTACGGATTTGAACATCAGCATGACTATACCGTTTTAAAATAAGTAAAAGCTAATTTCCGTTGAGCCTTGATCTATAAAAACACTTTATTTGTATACTCCACCCACCCATCATCAATACTGAAAATATGACTATTGGAGACATGTTAATAAAGATATGTATACATTCAGGAAAAAACATTAAATGTGACTCAAACAAATTAGTTTTGCATAACCCAGCTTGTATAGAGATTATGACTGAATTACGAAACAATGCGGGAGGTTCCACATATAAAATTCGAAGGTTCTTTACAGTTACGCAAACCAATTCAATTTATTTTTTTATATAATGTAATATAGATAGACATTTGCGACATTTTTTCAATCAAATTGTTTAGACACTTTTTTAATCTAGGGAATACTTATTATTAATTAATATATTATTATTACAGAACCACGAGAACACGCGAGGTAAAATGTCAGGATGTATATTATCCGCAAAAACTAACAAAACATTTTAGAATTATTTGCATTATCATAACTATATGCTATGTACACAAAGGTAATTTAGGCTTAGTATTACATGAATACAAAATATAAAAATAATTGTAAAAAACAAAGCTCATGTGTCTTTACATAGTTTGCGATGAGTGAAAAATAGTAAAAGGAAGTAAAAAATATTAGTCTATCACACAAGGCAAACGAATACGATTGAACACGTGGATATGTGGATATATGAAATAGCCCTGTGTTTACTTTCTTGTATGCAATAAAACTATTAGTGAAAAAAATGAATGAATCACACAATGTTTTAAGTTGCAAGTGCTGTATTCAGGAATATGTCTAAGTAAATACGTTTAAGACACTTCACAATTTTCGATGAGAACACATACATTGGTTTAGGTCAACTGTTATTTGTTTGTAACGTATTTCACGCGTCATTAAATGCTAGTACACGAAGCTGCATGCGGCTCACTGGTTTAATTAGTTGCTTCATGTCTAACGTGGATAATATATGGCTTCTATACATACACGTTGCGTGATGTTGTTTAATAAATCTTGGTTGTGTGCATTTAGTGCTATCGACGTCCGGTCATTAGACAGCATACAATAGATTTGTATATGATTTTCGCTTCATTTGTACAGTTTGAAACTATACAACAGAATACGATAGAGAAATATATTTCTGAAAAAATTGCGATGTTTTTTATCGATTTCATTCACTTTATTTCTCCATG